TCAGCTTCTTGTGATGTTGGTTCAGATCATTTTTTTCTTTTCTTCTTCAGAGGTGTCGTTGCCATCCCCAGTCACCGTGACCCATGGTCGCACCTACCAGCATCTCCATTGACGCCACCACCATCAACCACCACTGAGAATTCGGAATCGTGATAAATAGAACCCAAAATGTGAATCAAAAACCCAAATCTCAATTCGAAAACCAACCCCCAAATGCAAGATCAAATTACAAGCACAGAGAAACCCAAATAAAAACCCTAGCCCAAATCACGAAATCAAAAATCTGTAGAGAAGATTCAAGAAATCCAAATCAAAACCCTTGTTGCGACGTTGCCGGAAAATCAATCTCGCCGCTACAACACTCACTGTGAAATGAGAAGGGAGGACGCGTCATTGTCACGTCATCGTAGCGCCAGCACAATGTCGTTGTCGTCGGAGCTCGCCTCCCTCTCGCGAACCCAGCCCCAAAGAAGAATAAAGGAGAAATTTCTCCCTGTGTCGTGAGCTGGACTAGAAGGAATAGGAAGAAGAAAGTCCTCCCCTAAGTGAGAAACTTGCAGTAGACTAACCAAAAGAAATGACCCTTCAAAGCTGGTCCATTTACAAAAGAGAAACTCAAAGGAAAGAATAAATTCTCTAAATATGGTATTGTGAAAGTGATTAAAAACATGTCACATCAACCATGCCACCTCAATTAAAAACATACATCACCATGCCACATCAACCTTCCATTAACGTTGTTAGGTCCAATTTAACGGCAAGGATCTAATTGTTACAATTTTCACAAAATAAGGACTCAATTGAGACACCGAACAAGTAAGGGACCTATTTGAAATTCTGAACGAAAATAAGATCTACCGAAACATTAAACCTTAAATAAATGAAGATCACATTAGTGAAAAATTTAAAAGAGATTTCTAAGTTATTGCAATATGCTCAACAACACACAATAAAAAAACTCACCTCACAATCACAATGTATATTTAGTACAATACAAGTATTATATATATATATATATATATATATATATATATATATATAATTGGGTTGTTACTCTTTAAGTAATTAACCATTCTTTTAATTAAAATAATTATCTTATCATTTTTACTCTTATTTAAATTTAACCGTTTTGTAAACTAAAATATCTTATTATTTCATCCTTTTAAGTTATTGTTTATTTAAATTTAAATATTTTTAAACTAAATTAATTACATATAATAAGAAAAAGGAGACACACATACGTAGTACATGTATTTTATTAGTATATTATATTTTTATTTTTAATCCGTATATTTTATTGTATTATTAAGTTAGTTCAAATTTATCTCTCTTGTTTAACTTATAATAAATAGGTATATAAATATATAAATTCTATATTACATAGTATAATAATTCAAATTACGTACGTATATTTTATAATAATAATAATCTTGCAATAGCTTCATTCTGAAATATAGGTAAATACATACGAATATTTTACTATTTTGTCCCAATCTATGATGCTCAAATATGATACGACTATTAGGTACGACCCGTATCTCTTACGCAAGGAAAATGATATTTGAACAACCTGTTTTGACAACATTTAGACACTTGACGCGTGTTTAAATGTGACTGGTGCATGTGGAAATTTTTTTTTTTTAAATGAAAGAATGACGTGGCAATGAGAGAATTGGGGACAGATTCAAAATGTAGGGTTATTTCGAAAATTTGAGATTAAAATGTTTTCAGAGAGAGAAGCTGGAGAACATTTCATGGAGCACCTTCGAACCTTCGAACCTTCGAACTAGCCACCACAACTCTCGTCGAATACCTGCCGCCCCTAGACGTTGTCGTTTTCCCTCCATCCAATGTCGTCGTAGTGTCGCCAGTGTCCGTCGTCTTCCACCCAGCCAGGCAGTTCGGATTGCGGGTCGTCACAGCTCCGGCGTTGGCGACACTCCAGCGACACTCTGACGATGCTCCGGCGGCCACCGCAACGGTCCGGCACAGGGAAGGAAGCGAGTGGGAGGAATCGATACTCAAAACACGCCCTTGGTTGGCTGGGCCGGAGGGAAGACAATGTCGTCTTCGGTTCGTCTGCCAACGCCGGAGCTGCGGCGACCCGCAATCCGAACTGCCTGGCTGGGTGGAAGACAACGGACACCGGCGACACTGCGGCGGCACTAGATGGAGGGAAAACGACAACGTCTAGGGGCAGCGAGTATCTGGCGAGAGTTGTGGTGGCTGGTTCGAAGGTTCGAAGGTGCTCCATGAAATGTTCTTCAGCTTCTCTCTCTAAAAACATTTCAATCTCAAATTTTCGAAATAACCCTACATTTTGAATTTGTCCCCAATTCTCTCATTGCCATGTCATTCTTTCATTTAAAAAAAAAATTCCACGTGCACCAGTCACATTTAGACACGCGTCCAGTGTCTAAATGTTGTCAAAATAGGTTGTTCAAATATCATTTTCCCTTACGCAATATGATATACGATATGATATATGATATATGCGTATTGAAAAGTATACAATAATTCTTACTAACATGATAAATATATGATTGTTATGGTACGAATTCAAATTAAAATCATATGTATCAATGTTATCAACATAAAAAATTATAAATTATTGTCATCATAAAAGTATTATTATTTTATAGATTAATACTGATAAGTATTGATAAATCCTAAAGTATCATATATATATATATATATGTGACACAGGTATGTTATCTAAATTGAAGTATTGATATATCATAAATCTCAATATGGTCATTACTTGAGTCTATAAATATATATTAGACATACATTAATTAGACGAGTCTAGCAATACACACTAGACAAATATACCAAAAAACATTATATGAGTTTAATAATATACACATTAGACGAGTTTGTACATATATTGATTAGACAAGTATAACAAAAACTATTAGACAAGTCTAACAACACACAATAAAGTAGTTTGTTCATACCTTAATTAAATGAGTATAACAAAAAATATTAGATGAGGTATTTCATACATTGATTAAACGACTCTAAGCGCACACTGATTATTAGGCGAGTATAAACAAATATTAAACGATTTTGTCGATGCACTGATTAGACACGTTTAACCGTATACATTAGATGAATTTATCCACACAATTACTAAACAAGTATAACAAAAAATATTAGATGAGTTATTTCACACATTGATTAGACGGGTCTAGGAATATTCGTTAAACGAATATATTCATACACTAATTAAACAAGTTTAACAACAAACACTAAACAAGTTTGTCCACAAAGTGATAAGAAAAGTCCTGGCAATATACATTGTATAAATATGTTTCTCCATACCTAAATTATATGAGTCTATTAATACACATTAGACAAGTTTGTCCATTCACTAGTTAAACAAGTCTTAAAATAGAATTAAATGAGTTTACAGATACATTGGTTGGACGACTATGTCCACACACTAATTAAATTATTCTAACAACAAACACTAGACGAGTATATCTATACATTGATTAGACAAGTCTAACAGTATACACTAGACAAGTTTCTTTATACACAAATTAGACGATTTTATTAATACACATTAGATGAGTTTGTCCACTCACTAATTAGACGAGTCTTGCAATACACATTACACAAGTTTGAATACACACTTATTAGGCGAGTATAACAATACATATTATACGAGTGTACTCATATACTGATTAAACAAGTTTAACAATACATATTAGGTGAGTATATCGATGTATTGACTAGACGAGTCTAGCAATACACATCATATGAGTATTTTCATATATAATTAGAAAAATATAACAAATAAATTACACGATATTGTTCGTACAATAATTATATGAGTATAAAAAAATATTAGACAAATCATTTCATTCACTGATTAGACGATTATAACAAAAATTATTAAATAAGTCTGGGAATACATTGATTAGATGAGCAAAGCAAAAAACATTAGACAAGATTGTCGATATATTGATTAAACGAGTCTAACAATACACATTAGACGAGTCATTCATATATTTATTAGACAATTTTAGCAATATACATTAGACAAGCCTTTTGACACATAAATTAGGCTAGTCTATTAATAAACATTGGAAAAGTTTGTTCGTTTACTGCTTAGATGAATCTTGTAATACACATTAGATGAGTTTATTCATATATTGATTATATGAGTATAGAAAAAAACATTACACAAGTCTAGCAATACACATTAGACGAGTTTGTCCATATACTGATTAGATGCATATTACAAAAAATATCATGAGTCGTTACATACATTGATTAGATGAATCTAAGAATACACATTAGACAAATATGTCCATACACTGATCAGATGAGTCTTATAACACACATTAGACGAGTTTGTTCATACATTAATTACATCAATCTAACCATATACATTGGACGAGTCTATTCATACATATACTAGATGAATTTATTAATACATATTAGACGAATATATTCATTTTATAATTAAAAGAGTCTTACAATATACATACACAAATTTGTCTATATATTAATTAGAGGAATCTAACAAAACACATTAAACAAATATGTCCATATACAGATGAATTTAAACATACCTATTACATAAATGTGTCTATATACTAATTAAACAAGTCTAACAATACAAACAAGTCTAACAATACATATTGAACGAATTTATATTGATTAGATGAGTCTAACAATTCACATTACATCATTATATTCATACACTAATTTATATTTTTCACGAGTCAACTCTACATATTTTTATATATCCTTTATACTTTTAGATAATTTACTTTATTTTTGAACATGTTTTATCCTTTACATTTTTACAAAGTATATTATTTATATTTTTATAAACATATTAGCTTTTTAAACCTATAAATTATTTTTAAAATTAATTATATTCAAAACTTAATTATAAACTTAAAAATATTTATTATTACTTTTCTCAATCTCTAATTCTCTTTTAGTAAAAACACAATCAAACCTCGAGACATAGAGAGACGAACTAAAACAATTATTGTACAAAAGATGTTACATTAGTGTCAAGAAAGAAACCATCCACCGAAGCAGTCATCAAAATTACACACACTAATATAACTATTAATACATGTCTCCAACATAAAATCTATAACACATACTGAACTTTGTAAAGTTAAATTTCAATACTTGTACAACAATTCATGGCAGAAACTAATGAAGACATATTTCCTCTTTTCGCTACTTGTCATCCAATACTCAAGGCTGCTAGTAATAAGCATGAACTAAGAACATAGCATAACATTAAAAAGCCACAGCTAGAAAAGGCTTGGCTGCAGCACTCAGAGACATGAATTGCATAAGTCCTCCAAAAAATTACACATACTGATGGGAAATCATTTCTCGTGAACAAGAGGAGAATACACAGGATACCACATATTACTTCGGACGTACTCCACGGCCTCATCCTGCAACAATAATCACCAGTTAGCAATGCCGCCAAAAAATTTCATTGTTCAGATCTCGATACATGCTAGGCTGGTAGGATGTAAAACTTATAGGTATAATCCATTAGGATTTGTTTCCAAACAGTTGTTTTTCTTCAAAACAGCTGAAATTGAAGGTAGGAAAAAAGAACTTTTCCAGACATGCTCTTGTATATCGTAAAGCATGAAACTTTTCATACTTTTGACATATGGGAAAGTTCTCTGGGCCCCACATCACCATGTCCTTCTGCCAGTTCTTCTTCAACTGCTGCTCGAAGGACAGCAGCCCCAACCTCGGCTGTAACATCTCGTATGCTGCATCAAGCAAGTTGCATTAATAGTGAGGGTCATCATATCAGTTCATGAGACTTTTTTTAGCTTCAAAACAAACAACCAAATCAACCAGATCATTTATTCTTATAACAAAAAAGTGTATATCTTTTAAACATTGTTACTGTTAGAAGCTTTTATATTTAGGAAATGAATGGGAAAACCTTTGACGAGAGAAATGTGTATCAACACTTATATATATTGCTAGATATTGGTGCCAAACTCGGCATCTGAATCCTAGATAATAGTATTCACCAGATCACAGTTTTAAGTTATAAAATTTTTACAATTTAATTTGTTTTGGTCATTACAAAAGGCAATAGGAAAAACAAAGCCAGAAGAAAATGAAATGCAAAAGATAGAAAATAAGGAATAACACCTGTCAACAGATGGGTATAAAACTCCGTTTGAGATATCTTCCTCAGCCATGTATGAAGCAAGGCTGTAAGGATATCAGTATGTCAGTAATTTATTTAAAACAAGCATCAACTGACATCTCGTCAGAGCTGGGAAAATTAAAAAAGATGCAATTTTACCAGATGGAAATAGTGATATATAATTTTCGTCATATTCTCATCATACAAGTCACAAAACATATATAAGTCACAATCCAAGAATTCATGAAGACAATGTGGGACTTTCCAAAAGAAACGCACTAAAGAAAAATAGTACTTCAAAACCAATGGTAAATACATGTGATTACCAAGTAGTAAACATGTTTATTTTTTTCTGGACAAGAACATAAAGAATGAATATCAAAAAAATGAAATGTAGAAAACAGGAAATATGTTGAGCAACACATAAGACAAGGACAAACAGTTCAATGATTATAGCAACCTAGTGAATTCTATTATGATATGACTACAAATGTCAAAAGACATGTTATTTTTGCCAAATTTCCACGGGTGCTAGCACCAATAGCTTTTGGTTAACAAAAAAAGAAACAATTCTCCAAATTAAAATCATACCATTCAGCAGCTGCCTGCAACATTCCATCTGTTATAAGGTGAGAACCTGACAAAAGAGTTCCCAAACCAATTCTGAAAGAAAATGGTTAAACTAGAAGTTACACCAGTAATTCAACTGACAGGTATAATGCACGAAAATATACAAGCCAAGTAGATCTACCCTACCCTGGGAATAGGTACATGTTGTTTGCTTGATTTACATGGCCCACTTTTCCGTTACCTGCACAAGATTTAAATCAATAAATTATGCAACACTCGAGGAATATCGGAACTATACAAGTTACTTCTAAATCAAAGAAAGTGATAATTACCAAGATCTACATTTTCGAAAGGGCTTCCACTGGCAAACACTATATTTTCCCCAGCATGCTTGAATGCATCAATAGCAGTGCACTCAGCTGTCCACATAATACATAGAAAAAAAAAGTCAATGAAAACACATAAACATTATTAAGGAATTATGAGTGCTTAATGAGCCTTGTACAAACAAACCATTCATGGTAGGGTTAGACATGGCAAAGATAGCAGGTTTTGTTGAAACAGATTCTCTCATTGCCTTAAGCACCTGAGTCGAATCTCAACCATTAATATTAAGAAATTCAATAGCAGAAAAGCTCATACAGTACTGAAGATGTCCACTATATATATATATATATATATATATATTTATTTATTTAATATTCCTTATTGAGGGATGTGACATGATAGAAGTTAGATTGTAGAAGGTAATTACCTCATCATTGAAAATGCCACCAACACCAGATAAACCAAGGAGAACATGTGGCTTAATCTTCTTAACCTAAATATCAATAGGTTTAAGAATTAAAGGATGTACAAGAAAGTATGCATAATCTTTAAAATTAGCATTAATAAAGTGAAGAGGTTTAATCCTTCTATATCAAAATAACTCTTTTCAGTGTTGTAAAGTAGATCCTTGAGCCAAACAAATTTTCCTACATGAATCCTGTAACATTTACCACTTCAATTATGCTAGAACCCTCAGTAAGCCCCTCTAACTCTCTTGGATTTTTAGCAAATGGAGCTGCAGCTGGATCTAGATTGTTCCTGTCAGTTGTGACTAGACCCTGCATACAAAAAATGGCAATGTTATCAGACTAAACCTAAGTTTTTATGAAATAAACTAAACCTCCTACCTACTAATATGAAATAGTAGCATAACAATTATATATGCACACTACTAGTAATTCTTTTCTTATGCCATCAACATTGATTGCAAAGACAAATCAAGACAAAGAATATGATAAAAAAAATATGCTTAGATTGAATGAGTTCGTTCAGAGTCACATCTGAAAGGGAATGGATAAGTCAAAACAATTATGTGACTTGCAGGACTAACAATGCTAGTAAAGTTCATGAAAGCATACGTCTTTATCGATCAAATAGAATAGGCTTTTGGCAGCTAAATCACTGCACCCAGATATCTTTGCAACTGCCTTGATGGCCATTTTTAGAACCCCAAGCCCAGCACTGCAATCCAGGCAAAAAAAGATGTTGAGGCAGAAAGTAGCTATAATGAAGGAGTGTAATAGACAACAATCAACAAAAGAAAATGGAAAATATGATGTTCGTCATAATCAATTTTGCTAGTGAATTACCTCCCAGCTCCAACCACAACTATCTTTTGGTTCACAAAGTCAGTCAATGGTCGACCTTGGGCTCTTACAGTTCCCAATAATCCAGCAAGTGCAACTCCAGCAGTCCCCTATAGGACATGAAGTAAATATGAACTTTCAGTAGATTCTTAAACAGTGCACTGTTAGGTTATACGTTCAACATTTTCTACATTAACATTACTTTCTCACCTGTATATCATCATTAAACATGCAAAACCTTTTCTGATATCTTTCCAGGGTTTCAAAAGCCCACTTCATTTGGAAGTCCTCAAACTGACATAATTAAAACAAAAATCTAATTACAAAATTGATAAAAGAATGTGCTAGAATAAATACAGACAAACACATATCAGTGGGGAAAGGAGAAAAAATTTAACAGACCTACCTGCACAATAGCCTTGGGCCATCGAGCGTGAACCGCTTCCATGAATTCATCTACAATTGATAGATACTCTTCACCTTCCAACCTTGGTTGACGTAGTCCTAAATCTGCCATGTAAAAATGTCAAAAAAAGTCAATTCCTTCTGATATCAACAATATGATATATTTGAATACTGATAAGAAAAAAAAAGATAAATTAGAATGCTAGCTGTTGGCCCAAACCTTCCATTGTGAGAAAAAATTACAATTCAATGATAAAATATTCAAGAACACATCCCAAAGCTCAAAACATAAAAAGTTTATTTAATTGATTGGTTCCTTTCCAGTGTTGAAGTTAGAGACAACTTAATGGCAGAAATGGCTATGTCCTATGGCAATTTATTCTTTTATAATTGTTTTAATTTTTGGATAAAGCTTTTGCATAATCAGAGTTTTAGTGGAGCCAAAACTCTGAATTTTCATAGCTAGCCAGGGTGAGATGAGCACATATGTGCAAGGTGAAGAGCAAGGTAGCTTAATTCTGAAGATTCTAAAGCTTCCAAAGTTTCTATTCTAGTTATTGTCGATGGAAGGTGATGATTGATGAGTCTGAATCTTTCACACTTGTTTGGCAATTTTAAAGCCTTGATGCCTATGATATGAAACTGTATTCCACGTAGTGTATTAATCCTGATCTTGGATATGGAAGCTTAAAAAGTCATGGTTCTAAATGAAAAAAATATATATTTGGTCCTCCCATTATGATATTTCTAGCTCCATCTTTGTCCCCAAATAAATTAATGACAAAAGTAAAAGCTATAAATAAGTAGTCAAAAGATTGAAAAGAACAGAGTTTACTCACAAAGGCGGTCTTCAAGTAGCTTTTGATTGTTGGTGCCAACGTCCAACATAACTGGAAGTATCTGCAGTTGGAAAAACATGAGTTAACAATAGAGAATTTATCAATTGTTATTAATGATCCTACATTAAAAGAATCAAAAGACATATCATTCTACATTAATGATTCTAATGAAGTCAGAACATCATGAACACATTGTCATGTAATTCATAGATGTCACATGTAACTACACATGATAAAATTGCCCGCAGTAACGAAATTGTATCTATCCTAGCATAATTATCCTGTTCACTGCTTAAATGTTAAGAAAGCTCTTAGCCCAAGCCTAGGCCACCAGCATAAGATCCATGGGTGACGATCAGATGTATATCAGCTAACAATGAAACAAAAACAGCAAGAAATTGGAATGAAAGTAGTTTGAGAGACAAAAGAAGAAGCATACTCTTTGTGGGTTGATACCAGCGGCAGCAACATACACATCAAGTTTACCTATGGGAATTCCAATTCCCTGAACTCCAAGGTCGCCTAAGCCAAGAATTCGACTTCCATCTGTTAAGACAATCATGTCTACCTGCAACAGGAGCAACAAAATGATGACCAAACATAATGAATGAACAATTGCAAGCCAATTTTGTCACTTAATGAACCAAAACACATCACACCAAAGTCGTGGCAAGGGTTTTGTTTGGCTAACAAATAGATAAGTTGGCTGATATCTTATATATTTGTTTAGGCTTTAGGAAAATGTTTGGTAAAACTAACCTTTGAACTGGCTGATAAGCATAAAATAATATTAAAAAAAAAACATTAATTACTTGGCCATAACCTGAAATTTGATAACCATGAGTTTTCAAATAATTATCATTTTTCAAATTTTAGTTCATTTCAAATAATTTAACATCTTAAAAGTTAATATAATGTCTTTTTAATGTTATTCTCATTTTTAAATATTTTCATTTAAGAAAATGAGATAATTAAATGGGTTTATATTATAACTGTGATGATCTTATATTATAAAAAATTATATTCCATCATGATTAGTGAGAATGTTAAGGATTTTTGCACATAAGAAGGATAAAATAGAATTTTAATAAGATAACGAACATAAAAATTAAAAGAAAAATAAAATAAATAAGGAAATTTAAGCTTAAATGCTACATAAAGTAGTGTTTAAAAAATGCTTCTGACTAATGCAATAAGCTCCTTTAGCAAACAACTCCACCTTATCCAAATAAGCTTATAAAAAGGTCAAATAGATGGTAAGTTATTTGTCTTGCCAAACACACGGTAATTGGTAACCACAATTAGAGATATAAGACCAAAACTTTTGAAAATTCAATACAAACTTAAAAATCAGTATCACTTTTAATTATATAAGAGTCTCCCTTTCAATAAAAGAAAAAAAAGAGCCAAATACTCCAACCTCCCCTGACTTTTTCCAGATGTTTCACAAACATATCCTCAAGTTAGAACCTTCAAGTTAAGAGTATTATTTACACAATGAGTTTCTTCTGTGGAAGTCCCCTCTTGTTCTTTGAGATCTATGGTCTTTGGCCACATCAATTAAGTCTTAATTTGTTCTCACTTTTCTATTTCTACACCAGCTTTCCATAAGAGGAAATATTTGTGAAAATTTTAAAAGAAAGTATGAGAACCTTTATGTTATAGAAAAAACAAAAATCATCAATGACAAACTAAACAAAAATACCTTTTGATAAATTAATCTGGATCCATACAAACTGTAAAAAGAAAACCATATTGCATTTTTGGATAAATTAATCTGATCAATACAAACTGAAACAAGAAACACATGTTGCATTATATAATTACCGTTCCTTTCCCATGATTCCAAATTTTAACTTAAAACATAACTGATAGTTTTCTTATACTGAACTTCAATAGAATAGAATATCAATTCCGAGCCAACTGAATATTTGTTTATCACTCAAGGAATGGAGATTGACTAACTCAGCGTTAAGAGTAAGACAATTCAAGGAGATCTTTCATTTTCAAAATGTCACAATGTGATTAATTAGAAGGGAAGAATATAAGGTAAATGGCTATTTCCAATAATGAGCAAAAGGAAAATGGTACTGAACTTTAAAAATTAATGCAATACCTCGTGAGCTGGCCAGTTATAAATCATAGACATCATCTCCCCTTTATCTTTGGCACTAAAGTACATCCCCCGTGGACGTCTAAATAACCCCGAATAATTTTGACACACTAATCCAACTGTTGGAGTATATATTATTGGAGCAAACTCTTTAATATTATCAATAAGAACCTGAAAAGAAAAAATGTAATATAGCAACGGATGAATCACATAACAGAAATTTGATCATATTCTTTCATAAAAAAAAAACAAAAGCTCAAAAACACAAAAAAGCAAACATCATGGTCTAACTCACTCTGTAGTACAAAGTCTCGTTCCTGTCATGCAGTCTATTTAAGATCCTCCATTTTGCCAAGGAAACAACTTTATCTGATTGCCCCTGAGTATTATTCTCCAAAGACCGGAATGAATTCACTGGAAAACAAATATAACAATCCAATATTACCAAACAATAAAATAAAACAGGGCAAAAAGCCTGAGAACCCAAACACACTACTCTAGCGAACTAAGTTTTCAGAAGTTAGGCAAAGTGACTAGTTCTACAACTAAAACACCCCATACCAATGGATAAATATAAGAAAAGTAGTTGTCAAACTTACTAAAGCGATCATATTGCTGCTCAAAGGATATAACACGTGGAGGAAGGAGGCCGCGAAGCCCCAATCTATCCCTTTCAGTCAAAGGAAACCCAGTATCCTGCATTCCCAGCATTAAAAAGGAGCAAAAACAAAAAGGTTCACAGATTCAGGATCCAGAAGAAGACCGTGAAAGAAGGTTTCATGACCAAGTTGAAATCATCCCAAAGATTTTGTAAGAAAAGAAAAAGACCCGTGAGAAGCCCCATTTTTGTCAAGCGTTCAACTCAACCAAACTCCAGTGACATACCATGGAGAATATCAATGACACCAAACAGAATTAGCTTCCATCATTCTTCCCTCCTATTATTATTTTTTTCTCTTTTGCTTGGAAGAAAAACCAAAAAAAAAAATCATATAACCATGACAAGCACATAAATCAACACTCTAACTTTTCGAATTATAGCAGCAAAAACAAAATTCCGGCTTTAAAGCACCAGTTTACAAACTGCGAGAACCTTCTGAAACTAAAAAAATTTACAAAAAAAACGGAAGCTAAACACTTTCTGCTAAATTAAAATGAATTAGAAACTCTCAAGATTGAGACACAGGTAGAAAAAGCGAAGCTAAAGTGTTGTGATGCGAATTATGAGAAACCTTGTTGAACCAAGGATCGTGGAGTATGTCAGCACCGCGTTTGTGGACAATGCACGGACCGGGAATCGCGGCGGAGAACCGCCGCGATCGGGCGATGTTGGAAGCTGCGGCGAATCGGGCGAGTTTCCACATCCTCCTTTGTTTTTGTCTGTATGTGGAAAATTCACCACTGTGAGCGTGTCCACAGAGTTGAGCTTAGATTTGTCGAGAAAAATCAAACACGTCTATAACTATGCTATGCTATTGACATTTTCTAAGGTAGAAGCACATTTTCCCGAGAAAATAAACTGTGAGAAAGCGGTAATAAGTGTTGAAATGAAGAGTCCGAAGCATTTATAGTGGAACCAGGTGCTGTCTGCTTGCATCAGTAGATGAATTCTGCTTCCGCTTCAATCAGCTCATTTTTTCTTTTTTCATCGTGTTAAAATAACTGTCGCTTTATATTAGAAATAAAATCAATATTTAATTAAGTTTTAATTAATCTATAAGTTTTAAGTCAACTTGAAGGTGTATTGAGATCTATTCTTATAAATATTTAAATATAGATCTAATAGTATAAATGAGATGAAATATAAATATTTCATTATTTAAATATACAAAAAGTTAATTATTTAAATTTCAGAAAAAATGTTATTTCTGTAAAAAAAAAAATTATTTTAACATGAGATATAACTAATGTGTTGATGTTATTACATAATGTGTTGTGAAAATGGATTCTAACCCGTGAGTCAACCCAGCTTACCCGTAAGTCAACCCAGGTTACCCGTGAGTTTGAGTGGATTGGGTTTGAAAAAAATGTAATTTTTTATGCGGGTTGGTTTTCAACCTAGTTCACTTAGAACCCGCCGGATTAAACTCTGTGGTGAGTTGGTTTGACTCACTAACCCACCTAATTTAATTTAATTATTTATTTTTTTGTGTAATTTAATTTTTTTTTTTGTTTCAATATTATTAGTTAACATTTTTTTATTATATTGTAGATGGGATAAAAAAATATGTAAGATAGAAAATTATTACACATTTATCTATTCTAGACTCTAATATTATAGATGGATAAGTGATAAAAAATTATCAATATTAAAAACTTATTTGTTTGACTTTAGTGCTTGTTTTTGGATTACGCTTGAATTGTATGATATTTTTTTATTTTGAATTATTTTTTAAATTTAACATCTTTTTAGAGTGAAATTTATTTAGATTTGAATTAAAAAAATATAATTTTTTTTATTTTAAAAAAACTTATAATTAAGTGAGCTAGTGAGTTAATTTGTCTAATCCATCAACTCGTGATGGATCAAGGAGTCGGGTTGGGTTGATTCACTAAATGATCAACTCATGATGGATCGGACCAAATCGATCTAAACTACCCGTTTTGATAGTTCTAATCAGACACTTGATTTTATTGTCAATTTATTCATTGAATTGAATTTGTATTATAGAGATGTGGTTGTAATATGTTTATAATTTGATATAAACATATGCCAATCTTTTAAAAATCATTATTTATCTTGTTTGATGTGTTCATACCTTGTTTAACAACTATGATGAAGCAGCCTGTGTTTGTAGATGAAAAATCTCTTAAACTACTAATTTTTTAACATAATTTCTTAAAACAATCACTTTCTAATTTAAGTATAAATTAATCATTGGTTAAGAAGAAGTTTAGTTTATTTTATTTTTTTTAATTATTTAAAACAATTTGTGAACATATGCCTAAGGACGAGAAATGAATTTGTCCTCATAGTATGTTCGTACGAACCCGTTTCAAGTTTTTATAGAAAATTTTCACATTAACTGAATATATGATCAATAACATTCAAATTTTTAAATTAAATATAAAAATAAGATGATTACATATATAGTCGTTTTATATCAATTAAATAAATAAATATGCAGCAAGGCCTCCTTTCATACAGCTAAAAATAAAACAAAAAAATTATATGAATTAAATATGAGATAAAAGTAACCTATTCCTGTGGCTTGATATTTTATGCGCACTTGAAGTCAAATTGAGAATGAGACTGTGAGCATGGGGCACACACGCTTCTCACGTACCAACCAACCTTCGTATAATATTTAATTATTTATGAGGCACGATGCTTTCATTTTTTTTTAATTTTTTTTATTCTCAAATTTTGTTAGTTCTAATGATATTGATTCTGAAAATTTCAGTTGATATTATTAGAAACATCATGTCATTGATCGAGACTAAAACTTTTAAAAATATATTTCTAGAATTTAAAATAAAAAGCGTTTTATTTGTGAAGACTATAGTAAAAACATTATATGTTTCTTTATATTAAGATTAAAATATTTATAGAAATTAAAAAAAAAACTATAGAATATTTATAAAGATTAAAAAATAAATATTTACAAAGTTATAAAAACAAAATAATATATAATATCTATATGTTACTCAAAAAGTAATTTATAACTATTAAATATTTTAAACATCTTATAACTATGAAATATTTTAAACATCTTATTTAATCCACTGTGTTACCATGTCCCCCCTCTTGCTTTCTTCAATTTGCAATTACACTATTTAACATATTCATATAAATTCATTTTCTTAAAGTTTTTATTTATTAAATGTGTTTCGGTATAAAAGTTGAGGCCGAGATGCAAACCGGATAATTCACGTTTTAGGATGTCGTTATCTTCACGTCCTCTTCCTCTTCAGCACGTTTCAGGAAGATTGGGGTGTGTACCTGCGATAGCACTCGACGCTCAAGTCAAAAAAAATGGAACCGTCGAACTCTCTTAGTTCACAATAGATAAAAATAATAATAATCTCTTGCTCCAGGAAAAACGTACATTTTTCTCTCTCTGCTTTTCATATTTAAAACGATAAAAATAAACCGTTTACCTAAAAATTCGGTTGGTTAAAGAAGTTGACCATTTGGAAAGCACAACCGTTAGGTCGTGTTTGATACTGGGTCAGTTAATCCCGTGATTTGTGACACTATGCAGATATTTCTTAACTGTTTATCTTTTAGTTTATTAAGATTTAATATGTTCATATTGACTAAAATTGACCGGATGTATTCCCTCTGGTATTTGACTGAATTGTCGTGACTTCGTTGTTTAGTCGCCGACCGTTTAGTGCCATTAACATATACATACGATCGCTATAACACGATCGTTTAATGGTTGATGCTAAGAGGGTGAATCGCGGGCAATCGACACACACATACGATCGCTATAGTACGATCGTAAGATGGCTTGACATTGTGTGTTCTACCAGTCAACTGTCGATTAACCCAGGTATCCTACAATACAAAATGTAATATTAATCTTTTATGAAAATTTAGATTTATATTTCATTATTGTTGTATTTTTAAGTAGTCCTTCTATGAAAGATCCGTCATTTATTTATTATATTTTGTGATGTTATGGTAAAAAACAAAGTGGTGACCCACTTTTTCACCTTCAAATATTTGCTTTTTGTCCACTTGGAAGAGATATTCGATTTGTTAATTTCCAAAGGATGAAGTTAAGAATATGCCATTTCCACCTTACATGGCCGCCAACAATATGAACTTGTTGGAATAGATGTCACCCATAAAATTATGCAACAAAATAACATATTTAAGTGACAGAATAATAAACAATTTTTTAGTTACATAATTAAGAGAATTGAAATCAAAGAATTTGATTCCATATATGAGAGCAGTGGGTGGAAATCAATTGATCCGTTGGAACAAAATCCACAACTTTCATTCTCTTGGAAGGGCATCGATTCCTCTTATTACACCGCGTAATCTTTTCTTTCTAACATAATAGAAATAATATTCATATAAAAACTTCATATAATACTACTTTTCTGTTAATTTTATTTAATTATAGTTTATTACATCACATTCTAATAATATATAAAGAATTTGTATCACAAGGTAAAAACAGAGGTACAGAGAGAATCATAACAGGTTCATATATATATATATATATATATATATATATATATATATATATATATATATATATATATATTTATGGGAGTCATATTTCAATCTGGTTTATTTAAACTCGGTTCATGGAGGTTGAATTTATAGTAGATTGGGTTGGCTTACCAACCCACTTACCTAATTTTATTTTATTAAAATTTAATTTTAATTTTATAAAAAAATGTTTATTATTTTGTTTTTGTTTGAAAAAATTATTTAAGTTTTTTGTTTTAAAAATTAATTAAACACTTATTAAGAGTTAAATTTGGAAATGAAATTTGTTTAGATTTGAATTATAGGAAGTTTGTAATTTTTTTTTATTTAAAAAATTGTAATTAAGTAAACCAGTGAGCCAACCTTTACTCACCAACCCATAGTAGGTCGCTAATAAATGAGATGGGTTGGATTAGTTCACTAAATGACCAATCGTGATGGATCGAACCAGATGTCCATTTTGACAGCTCTAAATAATATTCATATAAAAACTTCACATAATAATACTACTTTTCTTGTTAATTTTATTTAATTATTATTTATTACATCTCAGGCGTATATGATAGTCAAAAAAATGTTTTTACAACAGACATATGAATGATGACAAAAACAAGAGGTACAGAAAGAATGATAAGGGGTTCATACAATAATATTGCATGATCTACAAGTCAAGTTTTTATTAACATAAAAATTAATAGCACCTATTTCTTGAAAAGTTGTGAAAACCTTTAATAGGTTTTGTCCTTAAATTATAATGTTATTTTGATTTTTTTTATTTTAAAGTTTGATTATGTTAAGTCTTTATTTTATTATTAAGAAATAAATAGTTATTTTCGCACAACGTCTCAATTGGTAACGTAATTTATTGTTTTTCACGTCAAAAAAACAGCTAATATCGTTGGATGGGAAGAACTCGTACATATTTTTAAGTATTAAAACATAATAGAATCAAAGTTTAATATAAAGAAAAACTAAAACTGTGTTATAGTTTGAATTAAAAAACTAGTCCTTTTATTTTTTTTTTTTTAAGACATAACATTAAAGCAATCTCAAATATAGAGCACATGGTTTTGAAATTAACTCTGAAATTGATGTGTAATAAATAAGATATTGCCAGTGGCGGAAGGCATTTTGTGAATAAGGAAAAACGCAGCATTGTCATAAATGGAGTTAGTGACCCTCCTTTTCCTTTCTTACCAACAATAACCTTCTACCCTCATGTTGGAATTACTTCTATTTCAGATCATATAGTACAACCTAAATTTGTTAACAGCAAACTTTAACAATTTCTTTTCTCCCCTGAACCTGGTTTCGAGCCAGCTCAATTTAAAAAAAATGGGGGATCTAAGTATAATTGAATCTTATAAAATTAATTTTTAAAATAAGATTTCTATCTACTTATATATGGTCGAGCGTCATTAGCGAGCGTTCGGTTCTTCTTGGAAGTGCATGGTCTTAACTGAGTTCTCATCCTTTAGGATATTGTCTAAGAGTCAGCCTGTAATACTCTGTAGGATTAGGTAAACTGTGACCGAGAGTTAGTATTAATCATTCAGTTTTTCTTTGAACGTTCGTCTATATTAAGTTCTTCTTCTACAAGGAAGTTCGTTAATGAAGATCGTGTTATAATATTAGTTATGTGTAAATGAGTGTTCAGCCAAAGTGTAGTCCTTCTTTAGGTTTCCTAAACAATTTAGTTAATGTATTATATACTACTTAAGGTCGTAGACGTTATCGTTCTTTTTCATTAAAAATAAGTGTGGCGCAACTGTATATATATACTCATTCGTGTTATGTAAGTTTATTAGTGCTCGGTCTTGGACCAAGCGTTCGATCTCAGTACCGCTCATTCCTGATAAGTACTTGGTCTTGGACCAGCGCTCGTTCGATAATGTTCGGTTTCTACAGGTCTTGTTTTCTGTAATATATTATTACCGTTTTTAGAATAAGAGTCTTCATTCAAACTCGATAGCATTCGTTACTTCATAGTTTCCATCAGTATTAGTATTGGGTGTCAAACAATGTTGGTCTTTAAAAGGTGTTCGGCCTAGAGTCTTAGTACTCAGTTTAGGCTTCGTGGCGTCCGTTTTGAATTCGTAGTGGTCTGTTTATTGAAGTGAATAAGTAACGCTCAGGCATGTTAGTCTCTAAGAAGTGTTATTCCATTCGAACTTATGAGATGATGAGAGAGTGTGATCGTATTTTAGTCGAATGTATTAATGATGAATTGTAAGGAAATTTGAAATGTGATGTGAATGTAATAGTTTGATTATGAACGAGTATTCTAGGGAGGAATATCTCAGAAAGTGGTTATTGATTGGTAAAGTATGAATGTGGGCAAAGCTTAGCGGGCGTTCATCCTAATATTCCATGATTACTCGTTCTCATGTAGAGAGGAGTAAGTCACGTGTGGGAATGGCAGGAGGTCCTAGTCCATAAGGTTAACTTGGACGGAACGGATCAACCTCGGATGACAGCTATTGAGGGTATCCCAGTTACTACATCACTGGGTGCACGAACGTCGTAGCTACACAGGATTCATACAGTCCGAACAGTCAGAGTTAAGTGGTCGTTAATTGCATGCATTAATGTATGAATTATGATGTGGTTGTTGTTGGTTTAATTATGAATGTTGTATGTTGTTATTGAATAAATTAAATTACATAAGCTTACCTTGTTTATCATTTTGTTTGTGTTGTGCGTCCTGTCGTTGTCCTGTTGCAATAATCATCCGTGTATATGTGACCAAAAGGAGAAGAGCTGTTGGAAGAAGTATTGGAAGACGCGACAGAAGTGAAGGTCGAACCTTAGGGACATTCGGTATGTTATTAGCTTTATATTTTGTAAGACCGTTCGATATAAGTTATTTTGTAGAACGTTCGGTCTAGTGATAGCTAGCGTACAGTCTTAAATTTCCTACTGTTATGTAAGGTTGTTCGGCCATAATCGTATCTCGTTGAGTGTTGAATTGATCTGTAATATTGTTAAAATGTGATTATTCTTTTATATGGTTTTACATGTCCAACACAACCTCTCATTTTAAGGCGTAATAAGTCACTTATATATAGTATATAATTTTAATTTAATTTGTCTAACGGAGTCAAACAAGAACAGTTCCGATTATAAATGTTTCAAAAGACGTATATGGGAGAAGTAAACATCCAACGAACCCGGTAACACTGGCAATTGGGTTCGTAGGGCTTCACAACAGCTTAGTAATGGCGTTGTAATAAATTTTGATAGATAAACTTTTCAATAAGGGAAAGAAAAAGAAACTTTCTTAAAACGGTATATCTTAAAATCAATTATTTCTTTTTAAAAATTGTTTTTTATTGTGATAAGTATAAACTAACTTTACTTTTAATTTAAAAAAAAAATCCCTTGATGATTTCATATCAAAATCAACAAAGTGAGAAGCTAAAATGAATTGGACCACTGAACTAATTATCTAAATGAAATGTGTTACAAAATTAATGTATACACTATCTTAAATATTAAATTCACAATTCAATATATATTTTGTAAGATCCAAAACTAATGAAGGATTTCTAAGTATCTTTTGTTCGGGTGTGTAAAAGAGAAAATACCCTTAACATTCATCTCATTCTGTGTTTTGTTATTGGTCCTACCTTGTTTTCTTCCACGCATTTTGATGGAAGTTCTGCTCTTTGTAATAACTTTGCAATTGTGCAATTTAAAAATGACTTTTAAATGTCACAATCTAGAAGTTCTTTTAATTAAAAAAATGATTTATAAACTACGCATTTTGAAAGACATTGTTAAATTATATATTCTGGGAGTTTGTTTATATAAAAATGATTCTCGTATTATATAATTTAGTTTATTTATAGAAGTGAATTATAAATTATGTAATTTATAAATATATTTTTTTTTATAAAATAGAAGGTCAAACCCATTTTCATAAAGAAATCTCCCTTTTGCTCTCGTGGTGCTGGTCATAATGAAAGTAGATTGAAGGTGTACTAAATATAATAATAGTTAAAATCATGCTCTTAGTCATATATGTCTAATATGAAATGTTTATAAAGAAAGGATTTCCGTATCCTCCATTCAATCAAAATGCTGAAATTAGTCCACTGATCCCACCTCATCATCATTTATTTATTTTGTCCTTACTTTTACCCTAAATCATCAAAGGGCAACTCAATTCGTTCTAAAAAAGAAGGGTTTATTAAATACAACATTTTTAATGCAAACAAGTAACACCCTTTTGTCTAAAAGAATAATATAGGTTAATCTTCGCAGGACAACTTCCAAAATATAATTATGATTTAGATCATGTTGCATATTTGTAAAACTTACATAATAAATAAGAGCACATAACATGAAGTAGCAGTTGGTGCCCTGGAGGATTCAATGGAAGAAGCGATTGGGAATCCTCTTTGGGCTCATGATGAAAAACTAGGGGAATGATTTGAGGGTTGGTAAAGCTATAATTTGACCTTTGTAGGGGTTTTTAATGCCTACAATTTCCGATCAGAACTGCCAATGTAGTCTCTTCAAGGCTCTAAAGATGCCATTACCTTATAATGATAGAGTACATTTTCAGGATGAAAGTGTTCCACATGTTCCCTCTTTCGACCTACTTGAACCTAAAATAGATCATCAGGCTATAACTAAAAGGCTACTGGAGAGATTACTTATTTTAAGAACGAGACTTCGTGAGGGAAAAGGAATAAAATTTTGTCCATGTTTTAAAAAATAGGGTAAGCATAACCTTTCTTGAAAAATATCTGTAAAATTATACCAGAATAAACATTTTTTTTTCAAAATAAACTAAGCCTAAAATGCAGAATTTTTAAATTAATATATATTTTATTTTACTTTAAAAAGTAATATTTATTATTTAAATCTATGTCATGTTTTAGAGTCTATGATATGACATTGTTTTACAACTGATCTAATATGGAATGAACACTATCATATTTGTAAGCTGCCTACAAATTTGACCTGTGCAATATCTTTCTTTTCCAGTAATCCAGTAATCTAAAAAACTATAGCAACTTTAACAAATAAAAGAAGCTTTCACTTGTGTATGCTGGTTTACATGAAATGCTAAAGTAAGTTGAATTAACAAAACTGTTATTTCCAAATTATATTGCCTAGACGTTTCAGCTGTCTTACACGTACATGCATCTTAATTTTAGTGTGAACATGAAATATTTGTCTATTTGATTGGCAATGAAAGAGAAGCTAAATATGCAACTTGCTAGTCTTTCTCCCTGGCCAAAATTACTTACCTAGATTTGTTGTTCAAAATATTCAGCATTTGCTTAATGAAGAGTAAACACATCAGGCCAAATTCCGAGCTATGTTAACCCCCCGAAGGTCCCAAGACTCTGTGCCAGCAATCTAGTCAGAGACGAAAATGGGTTTCCATTGAATAATATAAACTCAATCACATCACAGGATCACATTCACTACGCGATACAGGATATTGTACTAAATATATTCAACAACTTATGAAAATTTTGGTTAGTGCAAAATTTTACCTAATGGCTCTGTTATGTATACAATTCTATTCATCCCCGTATTTTAGCTTTTTCTTCTGCTTTCTACGCTGATCACGCAAACCTGGAACAACATGCCAGAATTTTTAGTTTTTTCCCTACCGTGAAGCATTAATAACTACTTTGGTAAGGAAAAGACATTCAAGATTAAAACTCACGTTTTTTCTCCTCTTTTCGCTTTCTTTTTAAATTCTCTATATTTCTCTGTTTTCCGGCCAACTCCTTGATATCCATTCGCACCTGCGAGGAAAAAGGGTGATGAGTAAAATTTCAATCAAGTCACAAGATAGTTGGATTTGAAGATCTGTTTTAGGCTTAGTAATTAACTCTAGTCCATGTTTTTTTCAGTTACAAGTTGGTGTGATGCCTTTAAATTTTAATGAAGTTACTGTTTATGATAAGAATCAGATGTGTGATTTTGTTTTAGGCAAGAAAATTACCAAGGAAAAGGTCGGAAGTTTGACTCAATGCCAAAAAACTAAAACTGGAAGCCAATTAAATTGAATTAAGTAGGGATTACTCTTCGCCTATTTTGCACATGGCAACCAAATCGCAATGCCATAACACACAACACGCATGCAAAATTTGTTTACTGACCAAGTACTATCTAGTGTCAGCATCCAAATGCGTGTCAGGGCAGTTACCTTCAAATTCACTATTGTGAAAGAGCAGGAAATAAATAAAAAATAAAAAAAGAGAAATAATTAGTTTCCCTATTGTTTTTGCAGCCTCCAATACTGGAATACACGTTTTAGAAACTCTAGTTTTGCAGTACCTTGAGCGTGAAGAAGGAAGTAGAAGAATCGCTCATCATCACTCATATTCACAAGGTTTCTTGTATTCATATTTAGTTTAAGCTCTCTTTACGAGGGGCATGAAGTTATTTGCTTATTGAAGATGTTTTAACCTTGATTGAATTATTCTATATACATTTTCCCTTGTTTTGGCTATCAATTGTTATGCTTCATGTTAAGCTAGGAATAGTGAGATATGAGTATGCTTGCATTTGGTGCCAGGAATGAAGTTAATCTAGGGATAGATAGCTGTGTGGTAAGGTATTTTATTAATTTCAATTGGATTTATAAACTTGTGTTGTTATTTTGACAAAGGGAATTAGGCTTGTTAACATAGTTTTGGACTTCACAGGTAGTTTCACCAAAGGAAGCGGTTCATAGCATAGTCAAGCGTAATTCAAATACTAATTTATCTATTATGAAGGCTTGGATCATAATCAACTAATCAAGTGAAATAGGACCCTATTATTTTTATCCTTATTAACGCCTTCTTATTGTTTGCTTAAATTCCTAAATGAAAATTTCCAAAAAGATGTAATCTTTTAAAATTGCATTTTTATGATTTGAGCTTCCTTCATACCAAACATAAAAGTCTGTAGAAAATTTCCTTAAACATAATACTTAAGGAAAATACTTACTACTAATAATTTTACTATACACAACTTTATACAGTTACCAATTTCCACATATTAACAGGGGGCAAAAGGATAAACAAAACGAACAAAAACATTAGCTCAATCTTAAAGTAAGCTGAACATTATACTACTACTATACATAAATTCCAGACATTTCTGACCCAAGAAGCTAGAGCCCACTCTTTCAAATCATTAAACTATTTTAATGATTTGGGTACGAAGCAAATGTTTGAAGGTTTGGAAGGGAGGGTGGGAAAGGTTGTGGGTTCAATTCCTCCTACTAACAAAATCTTACAACTAGCATTTGCTGTAAAAAAAAAATAGTCAAATCAAATTGTGTGTGCATCTACCATGCTTCCTAGAATTAACCACTTCACTAAAAAGCATTTCTTATATCCAAGAGTATGAAAAAAAGCCAAATGTAGACAAGGGAGAAGGGATAAAAAATACAAGTTTCAAAATAAAGACAAAAGAATCTTGAAATTTAGACATCAGGCAAGCAAATCTTATTTGATGTCAGAATTTCATCATCCACAACACAACTCAATGCAGAAAACAATTGTTAGAGTATGAAAATTGTTAAAATATTAGTCTACCTCTTCACCACCACTTCGAAGAGCTTGAAGTGCATCCATGCAATCTTGACCAATCACAACCAATTTTCCCTTTTTGCCTAGACTAGAACCCTGGTGATCACTTAATTTTTGCCTTGCTAACTGTTGCAATTGCTCCTGCATGAGGGGTGTGACACCAGACTGGGAAGAGAGTATTACATTAGAGTCTTATCCTAAATCCTTCAAGGTAAAAGTTGAAAGGAAAAGAAACTATGGAAAAACATGTTCAAAATAATATCTAAACAATTTTGAAATATTAAGGCATATATGACAATTATCAGTGAACACGCCAACCTTAGGCATTATCCGATTTTAAAGTGCCAACAATCCTTTTTCATTCTAAAATAATATTAAACCTATACAGGTTGAATACAGAGAGATAAGGTAACAAGTGGACTGGTATTTAGAATATAATTATAATTTTTTAAGACACTGGAACGTATATGGGCCACATCCTAGTAGCATGGTAGAAGTTTTTATTTAAGTCCTTGGATAAATAGCATCTTCCAACCAATTTGCAACTTCACCCATATTACCAGAAGCAGCCCAATCCAACTTTTAGAATAAGTTGAACTAAAACATATGATCAAATGCAATATAAAATTTTAAAATCAATATCCTCATGCTCACTACCTCCTGCCTTCCCGTTGCACCAGCCAGGCAATCACTATTACTCCTAAAGTAACATAAAAAAGCAAGTGCATAGTGAAATAAAAACAAAATAAGAATAATACCCCTGCTAAATACCGATGTGAAAATGATTTTGATTGTAATGGGCGAGAAATCAGCATTTTGAGCTCCTGAAATTTGTGAGATTTATAAAGCATTAAATAATTTGGAACACGTGGGGATAACAACTATACATAATTTCAATTTTTTAGGTGAGTTTCAAACCTCCTGCAATTTCTTCAATTGTCTAGAGCTGGCCTTTATTTCCTTATGTTTGTTCACTTGCTCCTCTTCACTGTCATAATTTTCAGTAACTAATTCAACTGAGCTAGCATTCCGATCAAACCAGTTTTTCTCAGCCTTTACCTACAATAAGAAAAATATAGGCAAAGATAAAATCCATAACAATGAAACATTGACAAGGATAAGATAACCTAATAAATCTACAACTATACTCATCATAAACTCAATATAGAGGGAAAGTAAAAATGGAGGTAACGAAGAAAAACATAAATTTAACTATTTAGCCAGGAAAAGTAATGACATGACTTAATTGAATTCAAAATCAATTTCAATCATATACACAAAAACGAAAAATTCAAAGGTGCCTTGACTTAATTTGTTCATGTAACTAACAGGAGTTGCATGAATAAGTCCAAAAACTAATCGGCGTGAATTTAGGTGAGAATCAGTATACCTGGGAATCTTTCCTTGTTATCTTGTCTATTTGTCGTGCAAGAGACAGTCTTTTTAGGACCTCTGGCATGTAAGAGTTCTCTAAAGGAAACCGCTGAAAGTTATCCTGTACATATATGACCGAGACCGTGAAACAGCATGAATTACTGACTTATTTCATGTAAAGGATATGTAAATTTATTTCATTTTCTTCAAAATCATTTCTTATCTAATTTTCATGAACTGTTTAGTGCCTCTACTATAGATGCTTGAATTTAAACCAAAAGGCACCTTAGAAAATGATTTGCACAGTGAAGCAAACTTGGACGTATCTTTTGGTGATATTAAAGCAATGCTACAACCTTCGGCGGAAGCTCTGGCTGTTCTTCCACTTCTATGAACATAAACCTAAAAATAAGAAACACGTTTGAGATATCACATATATAAATATAAGAATCAAAGAAACAAGGTATTGCATACCTCTGCTGAATGTGGAAGCTGATAATGGACAACAGTTCTAACACCAGGAATATCAAGACCCCTGGCAGCAACATCTGTAGCAACAAGTATGCCATTTTCATTTTCCCGAAAGCGATCAATGGCCTACATTAAACAAACATGCAGACAAAAAACAAAATGGTGAGGGAAATAAAATGCAATTCAATTAAACGGATAAATTACTCAATAATAAGATAATTAATTTCATAACAATTTCAAGGATCTAAGTGTCATTCCCCATGAAAGAACAGACAAAGTAGACCCACACAATGCTCATATGGATGGACAATACACAGTCAAGATACAATAACTAGGCTCACTTTATTTGTAGAAAAAAAAAAGGAAAATAAGTCAAAGAGCATTAGTTGATTAAATCCTCAAAACAAGAATTTGGACTTAGGATCTGTTAGAATAATTACTGTTACATATCATCATTAAGGCTAGTCTGCTAGACCAGTAATGAGTAGTACCGAGTTCTGTACCTAGAGGTCTAGTGTTGTACCTAGAGGTCTAGTGCAGACTCTTGGTGTTCCATGTACTCTTGCTTTTTCAATATATATAGAAGATAATGAGAGGGATCAGTTAAGCCCTCAAGAATATATTTTTACAGTTCTTAATCTCAAGTTGGTATCAGAGCAAGTTCATCCTGCTTTGGTTTCTGTCCCGGGTTGTCTACCTGCATTGTCATTGTCGTTCGCATATGTTCGGTGCCCTTTGCCGTTGTCTTGTCACTACCTGCAGCTGTCAACTGCAATTTAAAGCTCTTTAACTTGGTTCTCTGCCATCTCACATCTGTCCGCCGCCGTCCGACGTCACTGTTCCGTCCGGCGACCACTGGATCTGGTTCGTCTCTTCACGCGACGACCACCCCCACCGGTGCCGGAGTCTGATTCTCCTCCACGCACCGCTTCTTTGTGCACTGCGAACAGGCGCGTACAATTCACGTGCCGCCCTCTACCCGTCGGAAGGTCACCGCGACACCTCCATAGTTGTCGCCTGAGCCTCCTCTCTCTCTTCTGACCCTCAAAACCCTAATTCAGTGAAGTCCAGAAGCTCCCATTGAAGAAAACCCTAAGAAACCCTCTCGGTTTTTTGGTTCCTCACTGCCGCGTTTTTTCTTTCTCCTATTTTTATCAAGAATAGCGTCTGGAAGTGTTCTTTCTTTCTTTCTTTGGAAGTCCCTCCGTTACTTCCGAAAAGCTAAACGGAAAGAATTATTGTCTTGGTCTGCTGCTGTGGAAATGTGGTTTCTCGGTCAAGGACATTATGACCACCTTGAGCAGGATGGAAGCCAAGTACCTTCTGAAAAGGCTGAACAATGGAAACAAGCAGATTTCCAATTGTGTGCCCTATTGTGGCAATCTGTGTAACCTTGACTTTTGATATCTCTTAGAGCCTTTAATACTTGTCACTCTTTTTGGAAGAAAGCTCAAAGCATTTATGCTAATGATATTCAACGTCTCTATGATACAGCAAACAAGCTTGCATGTCTCAAAATGACGGACCATGATATGGTCTCCTTCATGACTGAACCCCAAGCAGTTGTGGAAGAGTTGAGAATGTTCTTGGAAGTGGAATCTTCGAAAGACATCAAGAAGAAGCTTGACAAGTATTATATGGTGATGATCCTCCGTGCTATACACCCTGATTTGAATCATATCAGAGATCAACTTCTGACAAGTCATGAGGTCCCTTCCTTGGAAGCCTTGACCACACGTCTTCTTCGTGTTCCAGTGCCTCAATCTCAGGAAGCTCATGAAACAATGGAACCATCTGTCATGGTTGCCACGCGAGGAAGAGGAGGACGTGGCACTAGAGGAGGAGGACGTGGAGGTCGGGGACGTCCACAGTGCACTTACTGTAAGAGGGTGGGTCACACCCAAGAAAACTGCTACTCCTTGCATGGTTTTCCTTCAAAAACAACCAATATCTCTAAGGCTGAAACTCCCACTTCCGACTCCAAGTTCACTGAGGAAGAGTATCAAGAGTATCTGCGATTAAAGTCTAACAGCTTGGCACAATCATCTCAATCCCCAAGTACATCCACAACTTGCATTTCTCAATCCATGGAAGGTCAAAGTTCATGGGTAATTGACTCGGGTGCTTCTGATCACATCTCTGGTGATACCTCATTGTTCTCAACCCTTTCCCTCCAAGAAAAACCCCATTTCATTACCCTTGCAAATGGCTCTAAAACTTGTTCAAAGGGAGTCGGTCAAGTCTCCCTGTCTCCCTTTCTTACTCTGAAATCTTTTCTTTTTGTCCCTAACTGTCCATTCAATTTACTTTCCTTAAGTCAGTTAACCAAAATGTTACATTGTTCAATAACTTTTGATTCAAAATCTTTTGTTATACAGGAGCGTGGCTCGAGGAGACAGATTGGAGAAGGATATGAAGCTGGAGGTTTATACCATTTTGGATCTCGTCCACGTGTATCCTGTGTTACAACTCTTCCCCCTAAAGTATTACATGACAGATTTGGTCATCCTCACTTGTCAAAGTTAAAAAAGATGTGTCCTGAACTTAGTGGTCTTCAGACTTTAGAATGTGAGTCTTGTCAACTAGGAAAACATGTTAGATCTATCTTTCCTAAAAGGTCTCAATCAATGTGTAATTCTAGTTTTTCTATTATTCATTCTGATGTCTGGGGACCTAGTCGCATCTCTTCTTTTGGTTTTAGGTATTTTGTTACATTTATTAATGAGTATTCTAGATGTACTTGGGTTTATCTAATGAAAGATCGCTCTGAATTGTTACTCATCTTCACATCCTTTTTGAATGAAATCAAGAACCAATTTGGTCAAGTAATTAAAATCTTAAGTGATAATGCTAAAGAGTATTTCTCCTTCACTTTTTCTGCAATCCTTAGCTCCCATGGTATTTTGCATCAGTCCACTTGTTCTCATACACCTCAGCAAAATGGTATAGCCGAAAGAAAAAATAGACACTTGGTTGAAACTGCTCGTACCCTTTTGCTTGGTGCCCATATTCTTGTTCATCCCTGGGGGATGTCACCTTAACTGCATGTTTTCTTATTAATAGGATGCCCTCCTCCTCTCTCAATAATAAAGTCCCTTTCTCCATTCTCTTTCCCAATGATCCTCTCTTTCACACCCCTCCTCGAGTTTTTGGTTGTGTCTGTTTTGTTCACGACATGTCTCCGGGGCTAGACAAGCTCTCCGCTCGTGCGATCAAATGTGTCTTTTTAGGCTATTCTCGGCTTCAAAAAGGGTACCGGTGTTATTCTCCTGAAACCAAGAAGTACTACATGTCTGTCAATGTTACATTCTTTGAACAAACGCCTTTCTTCTCTCCATCTGTTCCAAATGTTCATATCCTCCAACAGGTCCTTCCTCTTCTAATGGTTGAGTCCAATATCTCCAATGTCTCAGTCAATCCAAGTCATGCTCAAGGTCCTCCCGAACCTTCCTCTCCACATTGATATCTTCCGCCACAGTACCACGATGGGTAGTCCTCTTCCAGAAAATGGTGGATCTCCTCCTTCAGATTCTTCTCCCTCACCGCTTCTTGCCATGCCTCCTGGTGAAAATGATTCTAGTTGGCCCATTGCTCTCAGAAAAAGTACTCGTTCCACTCGAAACCCTCATCCCATTTATAATTTTCTTAGCTATCACAGACTGTAGCCCTCCTTTTATTCCCTTTTATCCTCAATGTCTTCTGTGGTTATACCCAAAAATGTGAAAGAAGCACTTGATCATCCTGGATGGCGACAAGCCATGATTGCTGAAATGCAAGCTCTTCACCATAGTAATACTTGGGAGATTGTGCCACTTCCCCCGGGCAAAATGGTTGTTGGTTGTCGATGGGTCTTTGCAATTAAAGTTGGCCCTAATGATGACATTGATCGGCTCAAAGCCCGGCTAGTTGCAAAAGGGTACACTCAGGTGTATGGCCTTGATTATTGTGACACATTTTCTCCCGTGGCCAAGATGATCTTGAGGAGGAAGTTTATATGGATATCAACAATGCCTTTCTCCATGGTGATCTTGAGGAGGAAGTTTATATGGAGCAACCTCCTGGGTTTGTTGCTCAGGGGGAGTCTGGTATGGTTTGCAAATTGCACTGATCTCTATATGGGCTCAAGCAATCACCATGTGCTTGGTTTGGAAAATTCAGCTGCATTGTTCAGAAATTTGGGCTAAAACGTAATGAAGCAAATCATTCAGTCTTTTATTATCACTCGTCTCTTGGGAAATGTGTTTACTTAATTGTATATGTTGATGATATCGTTATTACAGGGAATGATACTGCTGGAATATCTCAATTGAAGAAGTACTTGTGTAGACATTTCCAAACCAAGGATCTTGGAAGCCTCAGATACTTCTTAGGCATTGAAGTAGCTCAGTCAAAAGATGGAGTTGTAATCTCCCAAAGGAAGTATGCTCTGGATATTTTGCAAGAAACAGGCGTGATTGATTGTAGACCAGTTGAGAGTCCCATGGACCCAAATCAAAAATTAACAACAAAAGAAGGTGAGTTATTCTCCGACACGGAGAGATATAGGAGGCTAGTTGGAAAGCTAATCTATCTCACTATTACAAGGCCAGATCTATCTTTTGTTGTTGGGGTGGTTAGTCAGTTCATGCAAGTTCCATGTGTTGGCCATTGGAATGCTATCATTCGCATTCTAAGGTATCTGAAAAAGGCTCCCGGGCAAGGGCTGTTATATGAAGAAAAAGGAAGCCTTCAACTATCAGGATATTGTGATGCCGATTGGGCAGGTTCTCCTATTGATAGACGATCTACTACTGGATATTGTGTTTTCCTTGGAGGAAACATTATCTCATGGAAAAGTAAGAAACAGAATGTAGTGGCTCGATCAACAGCGGAAGCTGAATATAGGGCAATGGCGTCACTAACATGTGAACTTATATGGGTGAAACAGTTCCTTCAAGAGCTTAGCTTCTGTGACATCCAGAGTATGAAGATGTATTGTGATAACCAAGCTGCTCTTCACATTGCATCAAACCCAGTGTTTCACGAGAGGACTAAGCATATAGAAATTGATTGTCATTTTGTTCGGGAAAAGTTATTGTCAAAAGAAATATGTACCGAGTTTGTTGGATCAAATGACCAACTCACAG